TAATAATAATAATAATAATAATAATAATAATAATAATAATAATAATAATAATAATAATAATAATAATAAAATAATAATAATAATAATAATAATAATAATAATAATAATAATAATAATAATAATAATAATAATAATAATAATAATAATAATAATAATAATAATAATAATAATAATAGTAATAATAATAATAATAATAAACAGCAACAATAATAATAAATAGATGCAAACATGAATACTATGAACACAAACATAATCAATGATAAGTAAATAATTGCTATAATCAGTGATAAGCCTTACGTGTCATGCGGTTAGTTAACATAAAAAGATTACAAATTTTAGTAGATCGGAAATAAGAAACGTTTTCCAAAACTGGAATGAAGAGTGGGTGAACAAGGAGAAAAACAAAAACGCAAAGTGTAAAACATTCCAAAAATGTTTGTGATTGATATTAATAGGCCAAGAAATTCATTAGAGAAACCTGCGTTCTTTTCGATCCACTTCATGCACCTCATCCGCCTCATTATCATCATCACTAGTACCGTTCAGTAATCGTTCCGGCATCGGAATACTCATCGATTCCGTCACACCACTCAGTAATCGACGTTCCGCCATTAAACTTCGTTTTTTACTTCGCGCTACAATAAGTATGAAAGTGGAAATGGAAGGCTACGAAATTTAAATTTTCAAATTTTCACTTTTGAAAATGCTCAGTTTCGAAATGTTCACATTGGAGATATTTACTGGAATCAATTTGTAATCTAATTTTGATTAATGTCTGACAATAAACTGACAGGTACTAAGTAAATTTAAGCCATATCCAAGGAATTCTGAAAAAGGAAAAGGAAAGATAATACTGTTTGTAAATGAAAAAATCGTTTCTTGTCTAAGATCAGCATCACCGATATCGAAACCAGCATTTCGAAGTATACCAAGTAGTTCGTACCGAAAAGCACTAATATCCTAAAATCAATTATTCGCAGAAACATCAACTGACTCATCCATCAAAATATTTTAACCAATTTTTTGTTTCTCATTAATTCATGCATTAAACAGATAAAACATTATTAGACTGATAACTGAATCAAACACTTCCATTATAAAATGAATTAGAAATTCCAAAAACTTTCTTACTCAATTCAACATAAGTTGGAATTATTAAATTTGTATTTTCACATTGAAGCTTTTAAATGAAATATCGAATAAATCATCCGAACTCGAAGTACCTGCTTAATTTCCTCTACGTCCTCTTCAGTAATACCTTCAGTTTGTTGTTTACAACGTTGCAATTGAGCAATGTACCGCTTTACCAAATTACGCATTACAAACTAAAATTTCAGAAAAATTTTAAATAAAAGTTTGAAACTTCTACTTTTAAATTTCTGCCTTTCCAAATATCAATTATCAACTTTTTCACAATTTCATTTCATTATGACATTTATACTGACATAAATGATTACATCATATCTCATTCAGCAACTTACTCGATAATTATTTTCTCTTTTGTTGATCGTTTTGAGAATTTTTTGATTCTGAAAAATTATTTTCACTTTGTAATTTAATAAAACAAGCTTAAAAAACATTCTCTCATTATTTGTTTATTACTCAAGGATATTAAAAAAAAAATTTTAATCATTTGATTCGAAATTTTCGCCATTCATTTATTATTATTATTATTGTTTATTATTATTATTATTATTGTTATTATTATTATTATTATTATTATTATTATTATTGTTATTATTACTATTATTATTATTATTATTATTATTATTATTATTATTATTATTATTATTATTATTATTATTATTATTATTATTATTATTATTATTATTATTATTATTATTATTATTATTATTATTATTATTATTATTATTATTATTATTATTATTATTATTATTA